TCATACACAGTTACTTTCTGAATTGTACGCAGGGACAATTGAAGACACACTCCCATTTATAAAAAATCAATGTTTCTTTTAATTAAAGGGGCTTAGGAAAAACAAAAAGCACTTTCCCTGTATTGTTAGCAGTTGTCCTTCATTGGACAATACCAGGTTTCCATTAGCTTTGTGTAATTCCAGAGTCCAATAACCACTCTCAAATGCTGAAGATGTAGCCGCATAAGTCTGATTTAGAACAGCTATTTAGATCTCAATTATTAATGAAATTAGTGTCCTGAATGTCAGCAAGAGCACTGCCTTAGGTAAAGGCTGTAAAGGAAATCATATTAGTGTGGAATTTCCTCTCCTTAGGGGCTCCTCTTAGATTACATTATTCACTTAGCTATCTCCCGTCAGGGAAATTGAAATGTTGGCCATGATCTAAGCCTGGGGCAGAACCAAATGGAGAAGTTAAGGGGTATCTCAATGGCATCAATTCCAAAACATTTGCCTGGTGCCGGCGTTGCCGTTGGTCCGGTTTAATGTTTACAAAATAGCACCAGCACGGACAGCAGACACTGGCCAAGACAGAAGAATGGAGTGAAGAGGAGGCCATTTAGGAAAAATTGAGTGCAGTCCATCCAATAGGCAAGTTGCATGTCTCCTCTTTGGGCCGAGCCCGAGAACACTGGCAGGTGCCATGGCTTTCCTGTGGCCCTTCATCCTGGTGGCTGCCTCAGGTGGGTCCTTTTAATGATTTTACTTTCAGCCCAGAATATTAACTTTTAAAAGCTAGAGACAGTATTTTTCTACCTGGTGCTGTATAACTCCTTACAAGTGTTCGTTTTTACTTAGCATCTGTAAAGCACCAGTCCTGCGAAGCGACGTGGAGCCCGGTGATTTGTTATGTCTTTGCTCCTACAATGACAGATCTGTAAATACAAACGGAGTCACACAGTGGGGCTCTTGACACACAGCTGAAAATATGCTGGAAATGTTATAGCTGTTTGATAAAGCTTCTCCAGAAATCAAGCTCTCTTTGTGGCAATTTACATCGAGAGTTTGGGGCATTCCTTATTCAGATTTGCTTTTGTGTCTGAATAATAGATTTTTATTGTCCCAAACAGTCTTGGCTTTGTTATAAGCTTTCGGTAGCCCAGAGAGTTTCCTGGATACAGCTTGGCTGAGGACACCTGTGTATCATTTTGGTATTACGGGTCTCACCCAGCCATGCAAAGTCTGTGTAGGTGATGAATATATCTCCAGAGACAACTACTAGAAACTTGTATGTTTTTAGTGTACATTTCCCCTTAAGATACTTTAAAAATTAATATAGCCTTCTGAATTTCTAGAACTAAGTTTTTGTGGTATGAGTATTAACTCCACTGAATTGGGCCATTTGTGTTAAGATCCAATAGATTCTTAAAAAACACACACAGATCAAGAATATATGTTTATGCTGGTGTTCCCCCAGTACCCCCACTTTCTTGAGGGGTGTCCTTGAGCTCATATCTCAGAGTTTCCATGTTTTAAAATATAACTGGAAGTGGAATGAGTCAATTACTGAGATGAGGCAGGAATTTGGTAGCCCAGCAGCTGGAAATGATTTTTTTATTGGGTAGAGAAGAAAAATAGCCACTTATCATTAAAATAGGAGAATCCTGAATGTTGAACTTAAAGGATAAAAGCATATCTTAATTATAAAAATGAAAACAGGAAATTTCATTAAATGCCAAATGGGTTTCTTAGCAGAAAATAATTGTGAACATTAAGCTAAGTAAGATAAAATAGAAAAATAAAAGGTAAGGAAAAGAAAGAAAGTCTTCTTAATGTCTCTTTCTAATGTTTTGTATTATGCTTGATTTTTGTTCTAAATGTGACAGAAAGTGTGCTTTAATGGTGTCTAGTAATCAGTGCTTGACCATAAATTATACTGGAGACATGTGTTGCAGAAAAAGCTGCCCTTTGGAATTTTTGCTGGGTTAATATCAAGATAACTTGTAAATACAAGAGCAGTAAACCAACCACCAATTTAAGGCCACTGCCTGATGGCAGTGTCCTGGGCAAGAGCCTAGATTAAGAGACCTGTTTAGTTCCTACTGCACTACTCACCAGTCATGTGACCCTGAACAAGCCAATTAATCTCTTAGAGATTGAGTTTTCCTGTAAATTAAATGCTTATTTTGTATATTGTGGTGATCAAATAAGATAGCATTGTGAAATTGTAAGGTGCAATGCTAATAGAAGGTATTTTTGACCCAAAAACACACATACACAGAAAATAACAGTAGGCTGTTTCTGCCCAGTGATGTACACCATGCAACATGTCGGTTTCCTTTTGGAGGGCCACTCACTTCCATCCCTAATATTCTCAGGGAGCCAGCTCAGTGTAATGTCACAGTAAAGAGCTTGGGCTTTGGATCTAGTCCAGCCTCTTCATTTGCAAGCTGTAGGACTTTGGGTGGTCCTAAGCTCACTAAGCCTCTAGTCTGTCACCTCTAGTGAGGTGGACTCCTCATGGGGCTGAAGAGTACCTGTCTCATAAGGCTGTTGTAAAAGCCAAAGGAGGTCGTTCGTGTAAAATGCTCTAAGCCCAGTGCCTGACACGCAGCATGTATTCAGCCAGATTTGGGAATTCAGTAGACCACACCCCTAAATCTCATTCCTCCTGCAATTTCTCAGATGTGTGTGTAACTCTTTTATACTCCCAAAGCTGACATACTAAGTGAGAACAGCTCTTTTCATCACAGTGCCCAGAACTCTTTAAGATAGAATTCGTCAAAGCAAGGAAAACAAAGGAAAAATTCTATTGTATTCTTATCTTTAAAAAAAAAAAAAACTCTGCCCCTAAAAGTGCTTTATAGCTCAGTCCCCGACACATTCCACTTTCTAGAAATCTTACAAGTGAATTATTTGGAGCCAATTATTAGCATCCATAGAGGCCGCGTTAACGAGGAATCTTCCCTGGGTCTGTGGATAGCTTCCATCAGTGTCTGTTGAAACATCACTGAACTGTGAGTCATTTAGTGCTTGTGTGAATGTCACATTAGCTTTCAAGGGGCATAATTTACTGTTAATTAATGGTCACTTAAATCCGTAATCTCTCTCCTGTAATTGATCTTTCTCCTCAGGCAAATTTGCATTCATAGTAGAAATGTAATTTATTATTTCTTCCCATTTTAAACAAAGAACTCTTTACCCTTATAGTTTAATTAAGCATACTTTCATTTCATTCTTATTTTTCCTCTTATTTGTTGCTTGTTTCTCTGTTGTTCCTAGTTCTAGATTCTAGAACTTTCTCTTTTTACCCAAAGGCTTTGACACGTCCTGGAAAATTTATTTATCCATAGGAGACGTATGGATTGTTTCCTAGAAAAGACAGCAGAAGGGAATTTGAGTCTTAATAGCAGAGGGTATAGGGAAAACACATTCATTTCCCAGAATTCTGTTTTAATTCTGTCTCAGATAGTTTCCTGTATCGAAACATGCACATTTCAGTGTTTCCCCAACTGGGACTTGAATTGGGAGCTTCCAAGCGAGGTGAAAGTGAAGTTGCCCAGAGCGAAGTTCACAGGAAAAGCACCAGACCAGCTTTGCTTTGTGCTCCTGACTTCTCTCCCCTGGGGTACACCAGCAAGAAATGGTCTCAGGTAGAGAGAGTCACAGCACATTTTTTTGACAATCACGGTTCACAAAAACCCTGAAAATGATGCCCGATGCATGCCACCTACCTTAGTCCTCCATGCCTGAATAGCGGATGCCATTTTGGGCATCTCCATGGGTGAATAGTTAGGGAGTTAAAACGCTCATTAGCTTCGCAGTTCTGGTGGTAATGAGAGTGAATATTCCACTGCCCACAGTGACTCTGCATTGCACCCCCAGCATCGTCGTTAGCATTTTGGTCACAGTGACACTGATAAATCGTGGAAATTGCTGTCTGTGGCGGCAGGTGACACATCATTCATAAAGAAATGGGTATAAACAGGACTGTCACACAGGGAGAAGATATCTCATTTACAGTTTCCTGCTGGATCCCGCATACCTTCAGCAGCTCATCAAAATAACTATCAAAACCACTGAGAGGTGAGGTGAATTCACGCGCAGGACACTACAGATAGATTTCACTCACGCACTGTGGCAGGAGGCGGGCAATTTGCTCCAGTCCAATGACTTAGCGAAGCTTTGAATCCCCCAGGAGGTGGCAAAGCTTGTGAGCAAAATATCTTTTTCAATTCAGAGGAAGCCCTCACAAATTTGTCACTTCCAATTGTTGGTGCTCATTTCTCTTGCTTCTTTTCCCCTGGCCTCCCCTGCCTCAACACCAGTCACTGCTCCTCTACAAATCAGGATTCCCAGGCCATAAAGAATGGTTGTTCTCTGGAAACAGAAAGAATTTTCCCAAAACGAAGATCTCATTTTCTGACAAGTGTTTTATTTAAAGACAGTTGAGTGAGAAAAGAGGGTTTTTTTTTTAATTGTTGTTGTTTTTAGGAGAAAAGTATGAATTGGAATCTTGTTATTCCCATTACGTAGGAATTTTTGGGTTCACTGGTTTGTCCATGTTTCTACATGAATTTCCTATTTAATTGTTGAATTACAAATGAAAAACGTTAAAGTCAAGGAGGATATCACTTTTGATTAAGTGTATGGGAAGGTTTGTTTTGTTTTGTTTTTTCCCTGTGTTTTAGAAGGGGGTGATACTAGAAGACAGGATTCTGTCTCCAAGATGCATGAATGCTGTGAAAATAGAATTGTAGGTGTGGTTTGGATCCTTGGAGATCCGAGTTGACTTACTGACGGTTACAATGAGCTGTCTTTATTGGGCAGTCAGGTCATCAGCTTACTTTAAAGTAAGCGTCTGCCAAAGAGCCCACTGGCTGGCTGTGAACTTCAGGAAATTGGGGTAAGCTGAAAACCGTATTCTGCCAGAACCCACCAAGTCCTCAACGGTCTGAGATCTCCTTGAGATGCTAAGCTCCTCTTATTTTCCTCCTCATGATGCCAGTTTTGTTTTTCAGAAACCCTAGCTGTGGACATGCCTCATCCCACGAACCCTGCTCTGTATCGTCTCACCAAGCACCTACTACAGAAATATCACAAGGCAGTGAGGCCAGTTCACGACTGGACTGAGGCCACCACGGTGTATCTGGATGTGCTTGTCCATGCCGTTTTGGATGTGGTGAGGACTGTCTTACCCCTACCGATCCCAGTTACCTGTTTGTAACAGCACCTGCTGTTTACATGGGAGCCTGGTTGAGCTGGTAGGGAAGTTGACCTGGACTCGTGTTAGTAGTGAGCAGTGAGCATGAGGTAAAACACTTACTAGGCAAACCATGCTTTCTAGTCCCCGACTTGCAATGTGAGAAGCAGAGCATCTAGAAATAGGAGTTTCATGGAATTAAGAGGTTTTAAAAATTGTGGTCACAGACCACTGTACATATTTTATGAGTTTGCTGAAACCAAAAAAAAAGGTGGTTTGTTTTTTTTTTTTCCCTATAGCTCACATTTCTTAGGGACAGTAGTAAATTTCAGAAAAACATCTACCACTTATTGCCTGAAATTGAGAAAAAGAGAAAAACGTGTTCTGGTACTTTGAGTTTATACCCAAGGTGTTTACTAAGGGTGGTGAGGGAAGATTTGCTTATATAGCTATCTTCTATAACTAGAAAGTGGGTTGTTGTGGGAATTAAATGAGAGAATACATGGAAACCAGTTACCAGAGGTCTTAGTAGGTCCTCCATAAATGATGGCTTATCCTTGCTTCCTCTTTCTCCTCTTTTCTTAATCACAAAGTCTTCAGTATCAATAGGTCCCAGATTTATCTTGATTTTTCTTAAGAGCAGACTTTACTAAACTTGTTTGTTAATGTAGTTTAATATCTTTTTTCAATTTACTTCCCAAAACTTGTTTTTCTAATTGAGGTATACACGTGTTGAAATGCACAGATCTTAGGTATACAGTCTAATGATTTTTGGTAACTGGGTGCATGCATAGAATCCACACCCCTATCAATATAACAAATATTTCCATCACCCCAGGAAGACCCCTCATTGACTTCTCAGCCAATCCCCATCTCTCCATCCACAGAGACAATCACTGTTCCCATTACTTTCATCATAGATTATTTTTGCCGTTTCTAGAATTTCATATGAATGAAATGTTATTGTGCGTCCTCTATTGTGTCTGGATTTTTCATTCGGCATCATGTTTTTGAGGTTCACTCATGTCGGGTTTACCAGTAGTTTTTCTTTTTTATTGGTGAATAGTATTTGGTTATGGTTATACCATGATTTGTTTATATCCATTCTTTCTTTTTTCTTAAGGAGAGAGCACAAGAGTGTGTGGTCAGGGGGTTGGGCATGGGTGGAGAGGCGGAGGGAGAAGGAAATAGAGAATCTTAAGCAGGCTTCATGCCCCGCACAGAGCCCAATACGGGGCTCAGTCTCACAACCCTGAAATCATGACCTTAGCTGAAATTAAGAGTTGGACACTCAACCTACTGAGCTACCCAGGTACCCCTGTTTATCCGTTCATATGCTGATAGGCATTTGGGTTGTTTCCAGTGTTGGGATATTATTAATAACACTGCTATACAAGCCTTTTTATGTACATGTTTTTATTTCTTTTTTTTTTTTAAAGATTTTATTTATTTATTTGACAGAGATCACAAGTAGACGGAGAGGCAGGCAGAGAGAGAGAGAGGGAAGCAGGCTCCCTGCTGAGCAGAGAGCCCGATGCGGGACTCGATCCCAGGACCCTGAGATCATGACCTGAGCCGAAGGCAGCGGCTTAACCCACTGAGCCACCCAGGCGCCCCCATGCTTTTATTTCTTAGGTAAAACTAGAAGTGGAAGAATTGGCTCAGACAGGTGTACCCTTATTGAGAATCTGCAAGGCTAATTTACAAAGTCGTTGTATATTTTACACTCCCATGAGTCAGATAGCCGAGTTCCCGTTGCTCCACATCCTCATCGGTATTTGGTGTTATCAGTCTTATTTTTAGCCATTCTGTTGAGGGTATAATGGTATTTCACTAAGGTTTTACTTTAAATTTCTCTGATGGCTTGTGACCAGGAATTCTCTTCCATGTGCCTATTGGCTACTTACATATCTTTCTTTGTGAAGTAGCTTTTTAAGTCTTTTCCTTTTTTTTTCTTCTAAATTATGTTTTGGTCTTTTTGTTATAGTCTTATAGGCATTGTTTATATATTGTCATACTTATACATTGCAAATACTTATTACCAATCTCTGACTTATCTGCTCATTCTCTTAAAGGGTCTTATGGTGACCAGAGATCTTAAAGTTTAATGAGGTCCATTGTAAATCAATTATTTAGTTGTGGTTAGTGCTTTCTGGGTACTAAGACACCTTCAATACTCCCAAGTTCACAGACATATTTTCCTGTATTTTCTGTCAGAAGATTTATAGTTCTTAGTTTCTTAGATTTCGTCCTAGGATCTATTAAGAATTAATCTTTGTGATGGTGTGAGGCATGGGTCAAAGTTTTTGTTGTTTTTGTGTGTTGTTCCGGTTTGTTTTTTTGCATTCAGACAGGAGTTGAAAAGGTTTTCCTCTCACCATTGATTTGCTTGGTGCCTTGGTTGAAAATTAGATTGACTGATAAGTGTTGGGCTATTTCTCTTGAAATCAGGCAGTGTGAGTCCTTTCCATTTCTACATAAATTTTATAATTACCTTGTCAGTTTCTTTAAAAAAAAAACTGCTGGGAGTTTTTTTTAGGATGGTGTGGGATCTGCAGAGTAATTTAGGGGAGAATTGACATCTTAATAATAAATATTCCAATTTTAAAATACGTTCTGTCTCTCTATTATTTTGGGTCTTCAGCACTGTTTTATAATTTCCAATGTAGAAGCTTTACATATATTTCTATTAAATGTATCCCAAAGTATTTTTGCTGCTATAACTATTACTTGAAATTTTTTATTTTCTATTTGTTATTGTTATAGATAAATATTAATTTTGCATGTTGACTTTGTATACTGTGGTCTTGCTAAATTCACTTGTTAATTTTGGTAGTTTTTTGGTAGATCAATATTGTCTACATATACAATCGTGTCATCTGCAGATAGTTTTGCTTCTTCCTTTCTAATCTGTTTATACTCTTTATTTTTTCATTGTCATGTTGTATTGCCTAAGACTGCTCCTGCAATTTAACAGAAATAGTGAGAGCAGACACCCTTGTTTATTCCCATTCTTAGGGGAAATTTTTTCACCATTGAGTATGATGTTAGTTATAGCTTTTTTATCAATGTTGTTTATAAGGTTGACGAAGTTCCTTCTTATCTATTGTACACTAAGAGTTTTATTTTGTTTTTTTAAATCATGAAAGAATATTGAATTACATCTAATGTTTTTTCTCCATCTATTTGGATGATCAGATAATTCTTCTGTTTTATGCAGTTAAAAGGGTGAATTATTTTGATTGATTTTTCAAAAGTTAAAATGTCCTTGTATTCCTAGGATAAACTCCATTTAATCTTAATATATTATCCTTTTTATATATTTCTGGATTTAAATACCTACTTAATATAGATTGCATCTATGTTAATGAAGCATATTGGGCAATAGTTTTTATTTCTTGTAATGTACATGTCTTGTTTTGTATCAGGGTTATGTTGGCCTTAATAAAACCATTAAAATGTCTTCCCGCTTCAATTTTCTGTAAGAGTTGTGTAATATGGATATTTTTCTTTCCTAACATTTGATAGAATTCACCAGTAAAATCACCTAGGACTGGAGTTTTCTTGGTGAGAAGATACTCAAATGTGAATTCATTTTCATTAACATATATAAGAATGTTCCAATTTTCTATTTCTTCTTGTGTTGCTTTTAATAATTTGTGTTTTTCAAGGAATTTATCTATTTATCCAAGTTGTCAAATTTGTTTGTTTATAATATTGCCTTTTTTATCCTCATGTGGGTAATTTGTGTTTTCTCTTATTTTCCCTTGACCAATATTGGGAAAGTTTTGTTAATTTTACTTATTTTTTTCCAAAAAACCAAATACTCATTTTGAATTTAATCTGTTGTTTATTTCACTGATATCTGCTCTTATCTTTACTTAATTTCTTTCTTTTAATTTGTTTTTCTTTACCTACTTTCTTAAAGTGGAAGCTAAGATCATTGATTTTAAACCTTTCTTTTTCTAATTTTAGCGTTTATACTATCTCTAATCACTGCTTTAACTGTATCCCACAAAATTTTGAAGCATTTAAAATTGAAACATAAATTCCATAAAATGAAACATCTTTTTGAAGCTGATCTCTTCCCCCTGCCCCCCAATACCTGGCAACCAGTGATCTTATCTTTCTCACTATAGTTTTGCCTTTCCAGAAAGCCATATAAATGAAATCCTATGAAATTTGCCCTTTGTTTTGGCTTCTTGGGTGTGGCATCATGCCTTGGAGATCACACATGAGTTGCTGTAGGGCCAGTAGCATTCCACTGTGCAAGGACGTGTACTGCAACTGGCTTATATGTTTACCAGGTGTGGGACACGTGGGTTATTTCCAATGTGGGGAAATCATGAGTAAAGCCACTAGACACAGTTGCAAATCGTTTTCACTTCTTTTAGATAAATACTCAGATGTAGGTTTGCTGAGTTGTATGGTAAGCCTGTATTTAGCTTCATAAGATACTTCTAAACTGTTTCCCATAGTGGTTGCCTCGTTTTGCATTCCCCCTGGGATGCAGGGGTTTCTTCCACGTCATTGCCAGCACTTGATATTGTCAGTATTTCTAACTTTTAACCATCCTGGTAGATTTGTGATGATACCTCCCTGTGGTTTTTAACTTTTGTTTCACCAAAGACTAATGACATTGAATATCTTTCTCTGTGTTAATTTACCAATTGGTATCTTTTTGGTAAAGGGCTCAAATCTTTCACCCATTTTCAAAACAGTATTGTTCATTATCTTATTGAGTTGCAGGAGTTCTTTATATATTTTGGGTCTATTTCTGGACTCCATTTTGTCCATCTAATCAATGTTTCTCCCGACACCAGCCCACTGTCTCAATTACTGCAGCATTACAGAAGTCTTGAAATTAGAGTATGCCTTCCAACCTTCTTCTGTTTCAAAATCATTTTGACTTTTCCAGGTCCTTTGCATTTCCATATAAACTTTAAAATCAATTTCTTTTTTAAAAAAGTGCTGGAATT